GTTCATCATTGTATCCCTGGAACCTAGCACAATGCCTGGCATATAGCAGGCATGCTGTAAGTGTATTTTGAGTTAGTAATTTAAAATGTAAGTTCCATGAAGGCAGGGATCTTTATTATTCATTGAAAAATGAATACTCAACTGTTATCACCTGAATAAAGGACTTTTTGAAGACTGTGCCTTCATTACATGCAACAAAACTCTTCAATCTGTATATCTCCATAGAAGTCAGATATAAAATGGTCTTTAACCCAATTAATTATGTGGATATTATATCTTTCTGAAAATAAGATGCCCTCCAAAACTGCAAGAATACAATTTATAATAATCAAAATAAAATCGATGTTTACATTAAGAGCATTTTCACAAAATGGTACAGCTGTTGTGGAAAACAGTGTGGCAGTTCCTCAAAAACCTAAAAAGAGAACCACCATATGACCCAGCAATTCCACTCCCAGGTATATACCCCAAAAACGTGAAAGCAGAGACTCGAATAGAGACTTGTACACCATTCATTGCAGCACTATTCACAACAGCCAAAAGGTAGAAACAACCTAAATGCCCATCAACAGATGAACAGATAAACAAAATATGGTACATACATACAATGGAATACTACTCAGTCAGTAGGAGAAATGAAGTCTTGATACATGCTACCATAAGGATGGAGCTGGAAGATATTATTCTGAGTGAAATAAGTGAATCACAAAAGAATAAATATTGTACGACTTCACTTATATAAAAAGACAAGAAAAGGCAAACAGATAAGAACAAAGTTTTTTGGTGGTTACCAGGGGCAGGAGGGAGGGGAAAAGTGGAGGGGTTAACAGTTATGGAAATATCGCACTGATTAAGGATAAGGTTGCAGAGCCGATTATCGTAATTGCTGCAGATTAGTTGTATACCTGTAAAAAGTTGAATTGGCAAAAGCTGTGTGACACAGCAACAACAACAACAAAAAGTAGATGCTGAGGCTGCTTATGGACAAGAAAAACCTCGTGGAATGTGGTTTCTTGATTTGGAGTTTAGGGTCATGGTTTCATAGGGCATCCCCGTTAATCGGCCTCGTAGCGTGTTTAGTGCTTGTGTTCTACCTGCTAGTTTGCTGCATGGTGCCTGGGGTCTTAAAAGTTTGCAAGCAGCTTTCCGAGGCAAAACAATTGTTCTCTACTTGCCTGGAGCAACAGAGGAAGAAGGAGCATCAGGAATAGAAGGAAGACAAGGAATATGTTGGTAATCGCCTCCGTGAATAACTGCCTCCTTTGCCATGACCAGAAGAACTGAATGGTGTCCAGCTACCACTACTGAACATTTTGATCAAAGATTCTATAGAAGAATCCTGATTAGAAGAGAGAAAATGTAGAACAGAATTTGAAATTCTCATGGACTCCAGACTTCCTTGAGCCATGAAGTTTGGATGAACCCCAGAAACTATTGCCCTGAGAATCTTTAAACCCTAAACCAAAAATATCCCTGAAGTGTTCTTAAAAACAAAGAATAATTTAGCTTAACTAGTAAAAAATGTCTGCCTTGAGCATTATGCTCTTTTAAGATCTATATGGGATCAAATTGACAACAGCAACTTGAAAAATTAGATAGAAACTTCAGGAGGCAGTGAATTTATGTTAATGGGGGAGGAATAACTCAGAAAAGGAGGGTGAGAACGGCTGCACAACTCAAAGAATGTGATCAGTGTCACTAAATGGTACATACAGAAGTGGCTGAACTGGTGTATGTTTTGCTGTGTATAAGCTCAACAACAACAGACTAAATAAAATTGAAAAAAAAGTATTTTCTGTTTTCTTCTTTGTACTTTTCTGTGTTCTGAATTTTCTGCAATGAAAATATATTACTTTGTAATCAGAAAAAAATAATAACTGCTATTTTTAAAGAATGTAATGGATAAAATTATTTGTAAATGAATGACTAAGGAAATGTTAAGGACATAAGTTCAATCAAGGTTATTTGGGGTTAACACCAGAGAGAAAAAACTGGAATGTGAAAATAATTTAAAGACCTCAAACCTAATCAGTGTGTCTGAAAAAATACTTCACAGAGGGACGTGGATGTCACAGCGCTTAGGAAAAAAAGGGCATTGAAGATAAAGAATTTGCAGTGTTTAGCATCGTTCTTGGAAGCGTGACACTCCAGATCTGAAACGTTGGGTGACAAATAATTTTCTTTTGATACTGAAAGAGGATCCCCTCATGAATTCAGTCAGTAAAAGTTTATTAAACACCTATTGTGTTTCATGCTCTTTGCTAACTGCTGAGCTTTCAAAGATGACCAAGATAAGGCTCCTGCTCCTAAGGAGCTGATTTAATAGGAGACAAATGTGTAAACAACCTGACAAAAGTGTCATTGGTGCTCTGACAGTATCTGTAGGGTACATGGACACCCCACTTGCAGGGATCCAAATGTTAAAGTATTTCTATGTAATCTAGTGGTCACATGGGGAATATACTAATTGCAGTACTCTTCCACTGCACACTCCTTTTGCTAGCTAAATCCTAATCACCCCTCAGGTCTCGGCCAAGGCCCTACTTTCTCCCTTGGGCGCTTCTGCTATGAGGTCCCTAGGGCCCCTGTACTTCCTACAGAACGGCACTGATCACACTGTTTTGCAGTGTTTTGTTTGTCTGTTTCCTCCGGCTGATTGTCAGATCCTGAAGGACAGGAACAAATATTAGTCCTGATGATGTGCCTGGATCACCAAAGGCTTTCAGTAAGCAGTTGTTGAATGAATATAGTTTTAGAGCCTACAAAAATAGAGGGCCAGATCAACATTAAGTTTATGGAGCCCCAACCAAGGTGCAACTAACCAAGGAAGTTCAGTTTCAAATGTCCATCTGACCTTTGGTAGAAATGATTCCAGTTCCAACTGAGAACATAAATACTAAGGGAACATAATACCACAAAGTACCCAGAGTCCGGCTAACATCATAAAAAGAAAACCTGCTTAGAAGTGGAGAATATTAAGCTATTCAAACTTTTGAATAGAAGTGAAGGCCGTGGTAGAAATGACAGCCTAGTAGTCTAACGAAATGACAGGAGTAGACAAGCTTTATGCAAATCAGCTTGGGGGGATTAGAAGAGTCATCACTCACTCATTTAACATCAAGATTAGATTGAATTTTGAATTCTATGTTAAAGAGTTCAGACACAATATAAATAAATACTTCAGATATACATAGCACGTGATAGAAGTTGTATTTGAATGCAACCAGGCAGGGGATGACCTAGAGTGGAGACAAACTATGGGTGATGCACAAATCCAGATAGGGCCTTTTGTGTAAGTGGGATAGGATGTGACCTATGCAGGTAAGCCTTTCTTCTAATACTTCTCTGCTGGCATGTCACAAGGTCTGAAATTTCTGCCTCAGAAGTCACTCTTTTGGTTTAAGCTACTATCTTCAGAAGGCCCTTGTTAACATGCAAAAACTGTATTACTAAGCAATGGTAACATGCAACACAGCTGTAGCTCTGGCTCTCAAATCTAATCTTTTGTTCCTCCTAGGAATGAGTATGCTCAGCAAGAGAGGATACTGCTCAGCCTTCTCACAGCTAGGTGTGGCCATCACCAATGCAATGTAAGAGGAGAGATTTGCTAACTTCTATATCACTTCCTGTTATGGATTGAATTGTGTCCCTCCAAAAAAATATGTTGTCACCTTAGCTAGGCCATGATTCCCAGTATTGTGTGATTGTCCACCATTCTGTCATCTGATGTGATTTTCCTATATGTTGTAAATCCTACCTCTATGATGTTAATGAGCTGGGATTAGAGGCAGTTATTCTAATGAGGCAGGACTCAGTGTAAAAGATTACCTTGTGTCTTAAATCAATCTCTCTTGAGATATAAAAGAAAAGCGAGCAGAGAGACATGGGGACCTCCAACAAAGAAGAGCCAGGAGGGAGATGAAAAGCTCCCAGACAAGGGGGAGATTGATGACAAGAACCTTCCTCCAGAGCCAACAGAAGTGAGAAAGCTTCCCCTGTGCTGGCACCCTGAATTCAGACTTCTGTGTTACTAGGCTGTGATAGAATAAATTTCTCTTTGTTAAAGCCATCCACTTGTGGTATTTCTGTTATAGGAGCACTAGATAACTAAGACTACCTTAAAAATAAATTGCTTGCCTTTGACTTTCTTTTCCTTCTTCCTGAGGGCTAGAAAAGAGACATGGTGGAGACTGAACTTGAACCAATGTCCTAACCTAGGGCATGACAGAGTCTCATGATGGAAGGTCATGGGTCTCTGAATGAACTCGTGAGCAGAACAACTCTGTTACCATCAATCAGCCAGCAAGTTTCATCAGGAAGAAATACATTTCTATTTTCTCTTACCCACTGGATATTTTCTCTTCATTATAGTATATTACCTTTACCCTAATTAATATAATAGTCATGAGCATGACATAGATTTGAAAGTTAGCTATCTCTCATCTAGGGAACAGGAAGGCCCTAAAGACATGGGTCATAAGAAAAATAATAAAATGAGCTGGATTAGGGCACTCTCTGGGGAAGGTGGACAGAGATGGGCCACTGAAATGGAGGACTCTGGCTAGCCAGTGAGGGAATAGGATAAGGTCTTCTGACATCTAGATGGCGGCAAGAGGAAAAACCAATGTAAATTCTTGTGTACTTGAAAAATCTGGTAGGGATTAATCAGTTACAATAATTTTCAGAGAAGTAGTAAGTGAAATAGAAACAGAGAAGAGGCAGAATAGAAAGGAAAAAGTGGGTAGGAATTGATGAGGGACTTCATTATGGTGTTAAAAAAAAAAAAAAAAAAAAGGAGCCAAAATAAAAATCAATTCAAAGCAGAAGAGTCTAAATGACTGTGAATCATGAAACTGTGACAGTGACTGGAAGTTAGGGCAAGCTGTTGGCTGGTAACTGAACTCACTCCTCTTCACGTTAATTTTAAATTATGGTAGCCCGTTAAAGTCGATCTGTCCATACAAAAATAAAGATACATGATGAAGGAGAGTTTGAGGGAAAAAAAAAAAAGATGGTACAGCAATCAGGATTGGAGATATAGAATATTACCACCATTGTAAAAAAATAGCTACACTTATGGTTCTATTGCATTTTAAGCTTAAACATTACATATTTCAACTTCCATCTTGATAAAGTAGGCTCTGGTAGCAGTTTTCTAATTATTATATTCAGCATTGTCTCTTTTCACCTCTAAACTTGTTCAGAAGGCTCTCCTTGAACTTCTTCATCTTTATTTTGATGTTTAGCTTTCTGGAGAAGCTTGGGGCCCAGAAAACTAATAAGCAGGTGTCCAATCGGGGCTGTAATGAGAATGGCCAAAAATGCCACTGTCAACACATCCATTCCATAGTCTTCCAGCTGTGTATCTCCATATGATCTTGCTGTGTCCAAAGCCACAGATCCTAACGCAACCTATAAAAGTTTAAGGGTAAAGTAGGGAATATGGAAAGACAAGCATATACAACAAAGGTGAATTAATCATTAGCCAAAACAAACAAACAAACAAACAAAAAAAACAGTACTTTTGTTCAACTAACAAAGTTCTATTTAGTCTTCTTTCAAAGTGTACTGCAGTTGGTTTTGATTATTTGACAGACTGATGAGTCATATACACTTATATGCATGAGGCAGGATTACATAAATATCGGGCAAAAGAATTTCATAACACTAGGCAGATACAGACTCACAGTATCAATTACAACATAACATGAAGTTCTGTATACTAAATTTCTCCTCAGTAAAGATGAATGTTACTGGTTGCCTCATTCTTTTATCTTTAGAAATTTGGAATTAAGAAAAAATAAGAGGAAAAAATGGAGTGATACTTATTGGAAGATGGTAAAGGTTTAGATTTGGGCTAAAAATGTAAGAGTTATGTACTGCTTTAGAGGCTAAACTAATTGTTAAACATCATGAAACATGAAAGTGGTAGGTACCTTCAGGAACCTGAAGTTAATCTTATTAGGTATTTAGGAAGTTTTGCCTAAGGAGTTGGTGAAATGTTTATTTAGAATTTATCTACGTATTATGAAAATTCTCATTTTCTTTTAGAGGCAAAGTGCAGTATTATCAATTCACATGGGAAAAATTTATCAATTGATGTGATTATCTCTGTATCCCACGGAGCACAACACAGCCTCTAAGACAATCAAACAGGTAAGAAAATATCGAGAGCATCAGATACAATGGCAGAGATTAGCATCTGCTCACAAATATCTGAATGTTCCTTTTCTATAATAGACCTCCTGAGTTTTGGCTGGTCATAGAGCTGGCCGAGTAGTAACTCTTTTTTCCAGTCTCATTTGCAAATAGATGTGACTATGTATGTAAATTCTGGCCACTGAGAGGTGAGCAGAAATGCTAAGTGCAACATGTAGACTGTACTCTGAAAAGGAATAGACAAGCATGTCCCTTATCTCTTCCCCCTTTCCACTGGATGGGAAATTGTGAGAGTCGGAATTGTTACCTTGGACCCATGGATGGAAGGCACATGCTGAGGGTGGCATTCACCCTCTCAGCTCTGAAACGCCTATGCTGAGCTACTGGTGAGAGAGAGATAAAAATCTCATTTAGTCCCTGTATTTGGGGCTGTTTGCTATTGCAGCTTACCTGTACCCTAAGTAATTCAACATTTCATGGATTCTTGGCAAGAACTGTAAAAACTGCAAAATATATTTTCAGTTCTCTCTGTAGGTATACGTGTATGTGTAACTGTATGTTTTGGGATTTGTGTATTGGCCCGTGTTTTGGATTGAATTCTGTCACCCAAAAATATGTGTTGTAAATCCCAACCCCTAGAGAGGTTATAATCCCATTTACGAATGGATATTCTTTGTTACGTTAATGAGACAGTAATAGTGTAAAATGTGTCTTAAGTCAATCTCTTTTGAGATATAAAAGAGCAGACAAAGCAAGCGCAGTTTGGGGAAGATAGATGTCACGCCACACGAGATCTCCAAGGAACCAAATAACAGAAGTAGAAAAGACGCAAGGACCTTCCCTCAGAGCCAATAGAAAGAGAAAGCCTTCCCCCGGAGCCAGCACCCTGAATACAGACTTCTAGTTTCATAAACAGTGAGAAAATAAATTTCTGTTCATTAAAGCAACCCACTTGTGGTATTTCTGTTATAGTAGCACTAGATAACTAAGACATCTGGGTTCTGATGTAAAATATATTTCTTATAGTAGGCCACAGACAAAAAGTTTGAAAAACACTGATATAGAAAAATATATATAAGAAAGTCTTGTTTCTTGTGCAGTGGCAAAAAAAGAAAAAAACTTTTTTTAGCACAAAACATAACATTATCCAATATATCCTGGATATTTTTCCTTATTTTACAATATGCTTTCATGGTAGCAAAGTGCCATTTTCCAAATTTTAACATTTTATAACAAATTGTGCATACCAAAGCTACTAGAATCGTTGTTTTGATATTTACCTGCTAAAGTTACCGGAAGTCATGTGAGAGCTAGAAAGACTCTGAGGGAAAAGCTATCCCCTTTACTGTACTACATTAATCTCACAGTGCTCTTAACCATTATGTCTCAGACATCTTTGAAAATCTGATGGAAAAAGGAGAAACTTCTCTGGAATAATGCCCACGCCTACAGCCACACAAAATCTAGTATATAATTACAGAGCATACACATTCTCCAAAACAAAACAAAAATCTCATTGCCGTTGAGCCAATTCCAACTCATAGTGACTCTATAGAAGAGAGTAGAAGTGCCCCATAGGGTTTCCAAGGAGTGGCTGGTAGATTCGAACGGCTGACCTTTTGGTTAGCAGCCAAGCTCTTAACCGCCCTGAGCAAATTAACAACAACTAATTTTTAATTCCATAAACATAGAAATTTGTATACTTAAACAACTGCAGAAAATCATAGTCTATACAGTTCTAATTTAGTTAGCAATTGTAAGTATTCTAACAAATGCATGATCAACAATTTCAAGCACCTATCTCTAAGTGCTTTCATAATCACTTGCTCATTAGAGTACACAAATGTCAAGCAGATGCAACACTTGGAAGGAGGTTAAACTTGTTTACATAATTTGAAATCAACTAATAATCTAGAAAATCAATAAAGCATTTTCTGAGTGTTTTCAATAAATCTTCTTTTCTCCATTATACATAAAATCTAGCCAAGCATCATTGAACATTAATTATATTGACATTGAAATATTTTCAACCACTAAAATGGGCCATGCTATTTCTGTTTCACTCTCTTCTTGGGATACTGAACTGAAAAGAGGTAAGAACTATCTGTCTGGATTATACAGAGAGCTATGACTGATAAAAATTCAAACGCTTCTCTTCTGTTACTACTGCTTTCTAGTAGTGTAGGATTTATTACATTTTTAGTTGTACCCTAGTGATATAAAAAAAAAAATAAGTAAGGAATCAATATACTAAAGATAAAACTTTTGAAGAGTAGATTAATATAAAGTATTTTCATAAATCAAACTTCAATCAATTATTTTCACCAAACTTAAATAAGCTCTCTCATTCAATATTGCAAGGTATCATATAGAAATAGAAGTTAAAACACTAATCCATCCTATCTATCATTACCTGCACTGTGCCCTTAGGAAGCCATGCCGAAGAAATAAATATCTTTTCCTTTATGTTAAAACCAGCAGAACACAACATCAGAAATGCAGTCAAAATTCGTATCAATACTGCAACGCCCAGGGTGGCAACACAAAGGCCTGTAAGAAAAACTCAATTCTTGTAAATAATGGAACACTGGGGGAGAAACTGCATGTCATGGTTACTGATTCAAAATACTACCAACAGAAATAATGAAAGAACATTACAAAATGAAAAATACAAAAATAGGCATAATTTATCAAAAAATCAATATTAAGGACCAATCAGATTACTTGTTTAAAATAAGATGTTTTCCCTAGATTAAAACTAGAAATTAATTAAACATATTTGAATTTCTACAAAGGAGGTAAGAATGTTATATCTCTTATGCTTTATAGCATGAAACACACTTTCTTCCATATGTTTATTTAACAAGAATTTATTAAGTGATAATTATGCATGACAGGCTTTGAACTGGTCACTGGGTACACAAACATGTATAATGTACAGACTCTGCCTTCAGGGGCATCAAAGTCAGAGGAAGACAAAAATATAAACAATGAATTCACATACCATGTGGTAAGTGCAGTATAAACAAACCCATGTGAAAGCATAGAAGAGAGAGAAATTAACATTTTCATCAAGGTGGTTTATAAATCTTTATAAAGTAAAAGACCAGAAGTGCTATTCCAAATATTTATCAGCCAGTCAGAATGGAGCTGGCTGTGCAATGACCAATGAGAATGGGCACTGGCAGTACAGAACTGTTTCACCATATTGGTGTATAGTAACAGCATGTTAGCCCTGGATGATATACAGCTACTTAATTCAGTTGTTTAGAACCCTTTATTGATGAAGAAAATTTCATCCTGATTTGTAAAATAAGGGATTTTGACAAGTGCAGCTGCAGGCTACTGAACCTGATAAAGGTACAGCTAAGGTGACTAATAAGTAATAAGGTGATTTTTTAAAAAAGTAACATTTGTTGAGAGTTTACTCTGTGCCGGTTACTGTGCTAAGCTTTACACGCACAGTTTTACTTAACCCACACAACCTGTGGCTTAGGCGCTACTATTATTCTCATTTTACAGTTGTAAAAAAAGAAAGAAGTTCAAAGAGTATAAATAACTTTTCCAAGTTCAAAGGGCTGGGAAAACTCCAGAGAGACATTGCTGGATGATCTGCTGTGAATGTGTAATAGGGTTTCTTTATGGGCAGATTTTGTGGCTCTTTGTTGAAGTGTATTTCTTTCAGGTTGGTAGGTATTCAGAAGCATATTTAGTTGCCTGAATTACAAGATACAAAAGAGATGGCACCATTCCCAGACGCTGAAGGAGGAGCATGTTTGGGGACAGGATGATGAGTGAGTTTTAGATATACTTGAGTTTAATTTAGAGATAAATATTTTGGAATTACATAGTTTATAAATTAAGCCATTGGAAGTTCTGAGAAGTGATATAGAGTGAGAAAAGTAGGTGCTTTGGCAAGATCTTTAATGAAGAGCAACATTTCAACCATGTATAGTGTAAAGGAGAATACGAAGGGCACTGGAAAATATGAAGTTTCAGAATTCAACCTAAAAGAGTTTTAAAGAGGTCAATAGCATGAAATGCTGCTGAGAGGTCAACTAAAATAAAGACTGGAAAGTGTTCATTGGATTTAGCAATATAATCTTGGTGAGCAAGGTCTGCCGTGTGATGGGGCAGAAGCTGCACTGAAGTGTATTGAGAAAGTGAATGGGAGCTGAAGTGGAAAAGGGAAATGTAGTTACCTCTTTTAAAAAGTCTGAGAGAAGAAGAGAAAAGTAGTGTGGTAGGTGGCGTGGGGGGGGGGTGAAACGGAAGAAGGATAAATTGGGGGAAGGCAAATGGAGAAAGGATATATATTTGTTAAGACAGAAATGATTAGAGTCTGTTTAAATTCTGAAGAGGAAGAAACTGAAATAAGGGTGTTTGAAGATGTATGAGCAAAAGGGAAGGATTGTTCTCTGAGATTCAGAAGGAGGTGGCAGAGGATGGGGTCCCTAGTATGGATGGAAGAATATTGTGGTGGGAGTAAAGGATGAAATCATAAGTATTTGTTCAAATTAATATTTAAGTGTCATGCTATGAATCAAGAGAGCATTAATATGATGACTCGAATGTATGGATGAATAAAAGAATGGATGAATCGACAGACATTTCTATTCCATGGGCACATAGTATAGAAGTGACTAGCTGTTTTAAACTTCTGGTCCTTAGAACAGTTTAAATGAACACTAACATTGTTATCATTGTAAGAAAAAGTTTAAAGCCTGTAATCTCTTGATAGCGGTCAGTAGTGTCATCTTTACGAGGAACAACAATATTAAAGGTGTGGAATTCACTGCCTTGGATTTACCAGCTTTCTCTTCTAACCAACCAGTCTAATGGACTTAGACCATGACTACACAGGTAATTAACTTTTTATATAACTGTGATAATGGAAACCACTGGACACATGCCTGCTAAAGAGATTTTAACTGAATATAGAAAGAGAAGATTTTAGTTCAAAAGTGTACTTTGAAATTCTTACCAACAGTTTCTGGTCTGAGAGATGCAACAGATACCTCTGCTCCGAACAGTACAAAAACAAGGGGCTTAAACACGAACCAGGCAAATCCAATTATTTTTTCAACCTCTGCCTAAAAGAAAAACAAATAACACACACACACAATTTTTACTCTGTGAAGTTATAAGTAACAAAATTTTACTAATTTGAAATTTGAGTCAATTTGATCTATGGTAGGCTTTATTTTTATTTTTATGTTATCTATAAATAGGTTATCTACAATAGAACAAACAAATCACCTGGGACACTTCTTACACAGTTAAGATGTTATATGATGTGCTTTTGCATACTAAGTGTGAGTTTGCAAATGGACGTTAATTCTGAAGATTCTTATAATATTAGGGTGAATACTTCTGAATAGATTATTGTCAGATAATTTACCATGTGAATTTAAATACTGATCAAACAGACCATGTGTTTATTTTTATTGTATTCAAAGTTTTTATTTTGTACGAATGCTCTGAATTAGTACAAGTAAGATGCCAGCTATTATTCTGAGATCACATAATGAAGCAGGAAGAGCCCAGGTATGGGGCTCAGAAGACCAGGTTCTAGTTCCGGGTCATCACTAATAGAGTCGAGAACCCTAGACTCGCATGTGCTCACCATGGGACCACACTGTGCACACATTATGTCCTGAGACAGCTCCTCCACTACTGAAGGGCTCCAGCTGTTGGGAAGCCATTACCTAGACTGAGGCACTAGATCTTGCACACAGAAAAAAACACAGGACCATCGATTTCCACCTGACAGTCCATCAGTTTGTGAATGCCGCTATCATATTTACCCTAAGACTCCTGTTTCCTTGACTAAACATTTAAAAAGTTTTATTACTTTTAATTTACTAACTTAGGAGATCTTCTACCATCCTTTGAATAAGTTTCAGTTTGTCAGTGTATCTAACTACCCATCTGACTTCCTATCTATCTAGCTATATAGGTAATACAGTCATCATAATGAAGTTTAAAAGAATAGCCAGTGGGAAGTCCCTCTGTGTCCCCACAGGCAATGAGATGCCCCCACCCCATAGGCAACTCTGGTTATTAGAGCATAAACTACATCTGTTTGCTCACTTGTCTGCGAAATAGTAGCATACTATGTACAGTATTCATTGAGTTTAGTTTTTAAAAAATCTCCACATTCGTTCTCTCCGGTTACTTAAAGGGTTTCCTCATTCATTTTTACAGTTCTGTCACATTCCAATTAGAGATCCCACATAAATTATTTATTAGAAACTCTGTCATGAGAGTTAAAGTTTTCAACTTTTGTTGGTACAAAAAATATTGCAACAAATAGATGACTTTGTATTTCATATGTGTACAAATATATGTATAGCATAAATCCTTTAGAATCGCTGAGTCAAAGAGCATATATGCATGTGCCATTCTGATAGGCACAGCCAAATTGCCTTTTATCAGCTGCGTACAAGTGTGCTTATTTTTCTACACCCTACCAACATAGTATACTATCACATTTTGATAGGTCAAAGTATCTCTTTTTAAAAGTACCTGTCAAGTTTAATTCCTCTAGCCCTTAGTTGTGTCATCTAAAACTTTTAGGGATTAGACTGATTGCTAAATTCTTTACTGCTTTAAAATTCCATAATTCTATGAACAACTCAAATCTCATTCCATATAATAAAATAATCTAGCATCGGTACTTACCAAACACTTTGGTTTCTTGATCAATTTAAAAGATATTGAGAGTACCTGCTACATAACTGATTTAATAAAGATTAGTTTTCTTTCTTTAGGGAACCAATCTGATGCACTCAAATGGTGGGTTCTCATTCTGACTCTCCACTTGCTAGCTTTGTGATTTTAGGCAAACTGTTTACTATCTCTAAGTCTTGATGTCTTTGTTTGTAAAATGGGACAATGTCTACCTTTCAAGGTCACTGTGAAGAATAAGTGAGATAACATATGTCAGATTTTGCTGGGGAAGGGATCACTTTCACTGGGAAAGAGGTCTTTATCAAAGAAAATAGAGGAACACTTACAGTAAGAGACTGACAGAGCTGACCACATGAAAATATAAGGTCTTCATCTATCAATAATGAACAAAATAAACAGGCCCAAGGGCTAATATTGTGTGTGTATTTCTCACAAATAAGTAGTCAATATGTTAAATCAAAAGATAATGGACAAAAAAACCTATCAAAGAAAAATTCAAATGGTGAAAAATATGAACAAGTATTCAATCTCACTTTTAAAGATACCATTTCTCACCTATCAAGACGGCTGAAGATTAAAAGCAATAATATTTTAAACCAGTGGCTCACAAAGTGTGGTCCCCAGACGAGTAGCATCAGCATCACCTGAAACGTGTTAGAAGTGCAGATTCTCAGGCCCCACCTTAGACCTACCAAATCAGATAATTGGGGATGGGGCCCAGAAATCTAGTTTAACAAGCCTTCCAGGTGATTCTGATGCATGTCAAAGTTTGATAAGCATTCTTCTAAGCTGATGAGTTTGTGATGAGATACTTACTTCATATATTGCTGGAGGAAAAGTAAATTGATACAACTCTAGAAAGTAGTTTGGTAATATGTGTCAGAAAACCTCAGAATGTTCATATTATTTGGCACCAAAATTACACCGTTAGGAATGTTCCCTAACAGGAAATAATCAGATATTGGATTTCAGCATAGTTTAAAATAGAAAAGACTGGAAATAACCTAAATATATAGGTACATAGGAATGGTTAAAAAAAATTATAGTACATTTGTACGTGTGTATGTATATCTACCTATCTATATATATATGTGTGTGTGTATACATATATTTTATCACCAGAGGTATATATGAAACATATTTTAATAGTGATTTTCTCTCTGGTTTGAAGGATTACATTAATTCCTTCCAGGTAATCAGCTGGACTGCAGGCAATTTAGATAAAGTTATGATAAATGTAGATAAATGACCCTATGTTCTGGGTTATATTTTCTATACAACCCACATTATAGTTTTTTGAAGAAAAATGTAATTGAAACTGACTAAAGATTCCCTTTTCCTCTTTTTCTTTCTTTGCCATAGTCCATGGCCACTTGCAGGAGGCATGAGTCTCCCCTTTGATTTCACTGTTGCTGAAACTACTCTTTTATGGTCTATTCCAAATGTTATGGCTCTTTCTCATTGTTTATATTTTTTTATCCTATCATTTATGAATTTAGAGATACATTTTTTTATTTCATATTTTTTTAATTAAAATTGGTTACATTAGTCGTGCTGTGCTAGAGCTTTGGTTTTAAATTGCAAAGTTTAGGATAATAATACTTTTCAATACACTTAGTATTTGTTACTCAAATAGATGTCAAAATATAAAAATGTGCCCTGTACAACAATGCTACAGTTGTATTACAGGCTAGTACAAGTTGTTTTGGGGTCAGATAAACCTGAGTTTAAATCCCAATGCTGCCACTTTCTAATTTTGTGACCCTGGACATGTTACTGAAGACTTTCTGATTTATTAAAAAAAAAAAAAAAAACCAGTTGCCATGGGGTCACAATGCAAACGCAGTAGCATCCCTTTGCTAAGTGGGAACTATAATCTTTGTCTTGGGGCAAAGGAGTAGGTCAGGATGCTTCTAAGAGCAGGGTCTCTTAGTCAGCAGCCAAGGCTGAGATGGAAGACAGACAATGAATCCTCAGAGAGAAGCCAAGAACAGCACCAAGGAGGCAGCGTACCCCTTGGTCTTGAGCTGAGACTAGCAGAGGTAGGCTATTAACCTTGCCTCAGCCCACAGAGAAAGTGAATCCATGTAAAGACAAATGTTTTGATAATACAAATGTGATGAGGGATGAGTACCCAATCTATACTGGGAAGTTTGTTTACTTTTTCCATTCAATTTGTTGGATGTTAAACCCAAAAAACAAAACCCACTGCTGTCGAGTCAATTCTGACTGATAGCAGCCCTATAGGACAGAGTAGAACTGCCCCACAGAATTTCCAAGAAGCGCCTGGTGGATTCGAACTGCCAACCTTTTGGTTAGCAGCCATAGCTCTTAACTACTATGCCACCAGTGAAATCAGTAGAATTTATTAATACAGGTGCTGTTTAAAAAAAAGGGAGGAGAGAGAGACACACATGATATAAGCCTTATAGTTTAGCTTCCTGGCAAGGCAGGATGCTTAGGTGCTCATAATGCCAGGGGCAGGGCTAAAAGGGGCTCTCCCCTCTCTCCTGAAGCCCACTCCATCTAAGCCCACTTTCCTGTGGCCTCAGTACCCTCTCAACACAATGCTTCAGGCAGCCTCTACTAATCCCTCCCTCTAAAATGAGATAATTCAACATCATACTTGTTGTAATTTTGTAATCAACATCCTTATACAGTGAAAGCCTTCTACCTGAATGCTATTTACCCACAATGAAATTTTGTCTCCAGTAGACCCTCGCAGACATTCATTTAACTGAACATGATTTTATACCTGATCTCAAGATTTATGACCTTCACATATTCTTCCATAAGGCATTATCTTAAGTTGAATTATTTTGAACAGTTGTCTTCAAGTTTTATAAGATTATTCCAAAATCATATTATCTGCCCTTAATTTAAGTCACCTACATCTGTAATCTCTTCATTAAGCAAAATAACATGATCCTGCCAAGGTCAATTCTATGAAAACATATCTGGAAATTAAAATAAATAAATGACAACCAGCTAATTTCCATAATAGAGATTAAGAAAACTAATAATCTTAGTTATCTTAAAAATCAATAAGGAAAACTCAAATAATTCTTGAAAACGGGCAAAGCTTTTGAACAAACGGGTTGTTAAATCTGAGAAGATGATTAGCTTCACTCATAAAGAAATGCAAATCAGATTAATGAAAATACACACTTTTAACCTATCAGATTAACAAAGATTTGAAGACTGAAAATAGTCAGGAGATCCTCTCCCACACTGTTGGTGGGAATGCAAAATAGCGCAGCCTTTTGAAAGGGCAAATTGACACCATCAAAAATTTAAATGTGCATACTCTTTGACAGAGTAATTCTACTTCCAGAAATTTATCCTACAGATAAACTGAAAGATAAGCTACAGTTTGTGAATTCTAAGATACAAATCTTGTAACATTCCTGAAATTAGGATGGCGTGTTGTAGTTTAACTGGCAGCATATTTTTTTTCCTTCTTGGTGGCACATAAAGTAATGGTGCTTCTTAGAAATGATAGTGTCCTACAGTTTATGAAATATGGTATATGTAGGGATATTTTACTGAGGTAGTTTGTCTTAGCAGAAAACTAGAAACAACCTAACTATCTGTTAGTAGGAGACTGGTTAAGTAACGAGCACAGGTGGTGCAATGATTAAGCGCTTGGCTGTTAACCAAAAGGTCAGTGGCCACCAGCCACTCCCTGCTCCTCAGGAGAAAAGTCCTAGCAATCTGGTCACTTAAAGATTCAAACCAAAAACCAGAGCTGTTGCCGCAGAGTCCACTCCCACTCACGGCTAGTCTATAGGACAGAACAGAACTGCCCCATAGGGTTTCCAGGCTGTAATCTTTACGGAAGCAGATTGCCAGGTCTTTCTCCTGCACAGCGGCTTGTGGGTTCGAACAATCAACATTTCAGTTAGCAGCCTAGAGCCACCAGGGCTCCTTCCCCGTAAAGATTACAGCCTTGGAAACCCTATGGGGCAGTTCTACTCTGTCCTATAGGGTCCTATAGACTATTTATGAGTCAGAATCGATGGAACATCATACAACGACATAGCTATAAAATGCAATACTCTGCAGCCATGCCAAAAAAAAAAGGAAAGCATCATGAAAATATAACCATGATATATATTAAGTAAAGAAATCAAATTATAAATTGATACGTAAGGAAAAAAAAGATATTCATGTGTGTGTGGCACTGTACATCTGTATATGCATATAAATAGCTTTTATGATAAAAGTGTTATTTGATGTTAAAAAAGCATTTGGAAAGAAAAAGTAATCTGATCAGAAAGTAGCTGTGAACAGAACTTAAAATGAAATTCACCTTGTTCCTTGTCCTTCCTATGCCTGCAAGGGAGGCCATGACGAACGTGCACAGTCCTCTTGATCCCGGGAAATCAAAATATACACTGCTGAAAACAGTGAGCACAGAGAACCCCAGAACAAGGACTATTCTCTTGCAGTCAAGAACGCGCTTTAGGAGAAAAAAGTTAATTAGCAAAACTATTTCTAATAACTGATTTTTAATTATTGATTTTTCTACAATACGAATTTATAGGAAAATAAAAATGCCTGCCTCTGCTCACATAATGCGTGACCTAACATTTACCTTCTTTTCTTTAACAAAGGCAGAGTGAGTGTATACTCAAATGTCGGAACACCAATTATCTTTCTCGTTATTGCTATGATGCCGAAAAGATTTCAGCACTTCTTCCAGATCAAGATGGACTAGGAAGAAAGGCCTGGTGATCTACTTCCAAAAATCAGGCTATGAAAACACGGGCAGTGATTTGTCCTGTTGTGCATGGGGTCGCCATGAATTGGGGACAGACTTGACATCAGCTAACAAGAACAACAGTTATCAATGCATAATTTCACAGGGCTGAATAGAGTAATAGAAAAAAGTACACAGGCTTTGTACGCAGACAGACCTGGGTTAAATCCTAGCTTTTTACATCATTGGCGTGTATGTAGTGGCTGCGTTACTTCACCTCTCCAAGCTTTGTTTCCTCATCCGTGAAACTGGTATAAAAACATTTACATTTTAGAGGTTCTATGGAGGTTGAAGATATCGTCTCTCTACTATCTTCAGGTTCTCTGTTTCCTCTTTAATTTGGTGCTCCCTTGGTTTTTCTTTCTAAATCCTTGACTAGCAAGAAGTTTCAGGAGGCTGTAGATTGAGAGTAGCTTTTTTTTAAGTCTGACAACTGTGTACCTTTCTCTTTTTACTTTCCTCTGTTCAGCCTTTTAAACATCTTGATCACTTTAAGATGCAGATTTTTAAAAGTGCTTGATCTGATTTGGAGAAATGCAGGCTCTGGAGCTGGATGACCTGAGTTCAGTCCCAGCTCCACTGCTTTCTAGCTATGTGATCTTGTTCAAGTCATTTATCTTCTCAATTTCTTCATCAGTAAAATGGTCATATTCACAGTACCCTCCTCATGGGTGATCCGGATTGCACTAGGTCAGCGCTGCCCAGATAACTTTCAGTGATGACAGAAATATTCTCTATTTGCACTTCCCAGTCCAAGAGCCGCTAGTCACTGTGGCCACTGAATGTGCAACTGAGGAACTGATTCTGCTTTCTTTTTTGATTTTTAAAAATGTATTAGAAAAAGGTCTACAAGTATTTTTACAATTGTATGTACACTTAATATTAAGGAACAAATTAGAATAATTTAGAGTTTAGATAAGAAAATATTCGCCTCACACATATTTTAGTCTCCTTAATGGTGAGCAATTAGCTGATCAGCTAGTGTGAACATGACTTTCAGGACTGAATACTTCTGAGGTTACCTTAGTTTCTTTGTTTTCAACAAGAATAAGTCTTGACGGTAGACCAATTAGCAAACCTTGAACAATTAATTTAAATTGTGTGGTAATTATTACAGAGACTGGTTAGAACTTATGAGGAGGAACTGAATTTTTAATTTTACTAATTTAAATGGCTACCTGTGGCTAGTGGCTACAATGTTGGACAGTGTAGCAGTAGATGATGACTGTAAGTACTCACCACAGCATTTTATACACAGTAGGCAAAAAAGTAAGCTATTATTTTTTATAAATAAAAAAATATTAAACAAATGTATTCTCTTTATTTTGTTGCATAATTAGAACAATCTCATATGTTTCTTTTGTGCATTTATAGCATCTTCTGTAGACAATTTCAGAGTTTTTTGGAGTAACAGTACAAGAAAAATTCAAATCAACATGCGTTCTGATAATAGAAATATTAATTTTCTTAATTAAAATTCTACTTTAATTTTGATGAACTCCATTCAAAGTGCACTGAAATCTGAAAATACGAATTCTTAAAAATTTCTATATGTTTATCTATCCTAAGAGAATTAAGAGGAGAAAAGGAAACAATCAAAACCTTCTGTCTCACTGAGAAAGCATTGTGTGCAGTCAAGAACTTTGATCTTCTTTGCAGGAAATATTGGACTGCATTACACAGAGATGTTAAATGTTCAATGTGCTAATACTATTTGATAGTATTAGAAGCTAAAGTATTCTGATACTAACAAAAAGGACCAAAAAAAAAAAAAAAGCCATTATACATCATGATTTAGTTAAATATAATAAAAAATCTTGCATATCTTATTTTTTTAATTGATGATATTTGTTTTATTGTGAAATTTAAAGTGTATAGAACATAAATTAGAGAAAAAAATGTTTGGACTGCATTAAATATCTTACACATTTAGTCCCCTTCATAAAGCTCATGGATGGCACTGATACAGCAGTAAGCAACTTTCAACTGGTGGGCTATTTTGTAAACCACGTCCTTCACACTTAGCTTTGATGGAAGTGTTTCAGAGTGTTTTTAATGGCATTTTAGAGCATGACTTTCCCACAGGTTATTTCTCTCACCTGGTCACTGCTTGGAAAGTAATGAATAAAAGCTCCAAGAAGAGATCCAGTTGCCACACCGGTTACGACCTCCCAAATTCCCTTAAGGACGTTAAAAATTGTGGAGCCTGAAGAAGACACAAAGAGAAATGCTCAGACAGAATGCTTAATCCTTAAATACACAAACTTCACCTCTACAATCATTGGAATAAAGCATATAATTACATACGAGGAAGTTTACAGACCCTCTGCATTCTTAAATATTGTGACTTAAAGTGTTTACTAAAAAGAGCTTATCTTATAAGATTGGGGTTTTTTTTTTTAATGGTATAAGAAAGGTATGCATGTAATTGGAGACAAATTATGAAACAGGCTAAGATATGATTTGTGCAGTTTTACATGCGTTTATGTCAATAAATTTTAAAGGGCCTAAGAAAATGTGAAAGATAAAATTCATAATTCAGAGCTAATTTGTTCTACAGCATTATAGGCATAGGCTGAGTGACTTACACAGATATAGGTAAGCCTTCAAGTTATCATTTAAGAGTATGATTTTTAATAGTAGATGTGCGTTGATTTTAGTATCTCTGAGATGTATAAGAATGCAGTAACCTAAGAATTTGGACATAAAAATTAAAAAACTTTTCTTACTATAAAGAGTACAAGGGACTTATTCCTTCTCAAACGTTTACTCTAAAAGTAAATCTGAAAACAAATGGTTTTTGAGATTGCTCTTAAAAACCAAACCCACTGCCGCTGAGTCGATTCCAACTCAGAGAGACCCGATAGCACAGAGCAGAACTGCCCCATAGAGTTTCCAAGGAGCAGCTGGTGGATTTGAACTGCCAACCTTTTGGTTAGCAGCCGAGTTCTTAACCACTGCGCCACCAGATTGCTTTTAGAAAAGTTTTTATTTTTTGATTAACTTCTTTGAAAGAGGTAAGTAATAGAAAAATCTTTGCTAGAACATTATGCAGAAAATTACATTAAAATTATTCAACACATAAAGCCCTTCTTCACACACTGTTCTAAGGAAAAATGTACTCAGTAACTAGTTATTTCTTGCAGCAATTGTCTCATTTATGTATTTATTTATTTATTTTAAAACGACCTCTGCAGTATTTTTATCTAGCTAGGACAATTGTCTGCCCGGTAACGGTGTAACTGTCAAACGCGTCACTCTGTGATATTAGCACAACACTGAAGGTATTACAGTAAATAATTTACTGTGAGTGTGTAGAAAGTAGATAATTCGTTTCAATCTCTGGTATATTAAAGTTATTCGGGGGGAAAAAAAGACTTGGGTCTCATCCCTGGAAATTCCAATTCAATAAGTCTGGCAGGGCCTGGGAGCCACATTTTAAAGAGGCATCTAGGTCATCTTGATCCAGAAGGTCTATGGACCACACTGGAAGGGAGTGGGAGGGGGAAGAATGGGAGGGGGAAGAAAGGGATCTTATCAGAGTCAGTTATGAAGGTTCTTCGAACTATCCACACTTTCTCTTCCCACCTCCACCCCTACACCCCCCACAACTCTGGATTATAAAAACCCCAGCCCTGACCCTTCCCACTCCCTCCTCTCCCCTCCCCCCCGCCTGTGATTCTAATACAAACACTATTGCTCTAAAGCAATAGTTCTTGATCCTGACTGCACTGGTTTCCATTCTCAAAGTTTCTGATTGAATTGGTCTACGGAATTCCCTGCGTGGTACAAATGTTAACACACTCAGCTGTGAACAAAAAAAGCTGGAGGGTCAAGTACACCCAGAGGTGCCTCAGAAGAAAGACGTGGTGATCTACTTCCAAAAAATCAGCCATTGAACACCCTATGGAGCACCATGTATTGTACTCTGCAAGGGGTGCCAAGAGTTGGAATCAACTCGACAGTAACTGGTTGGTTGGTTAATTTACGGCCCATATATGGGTATTTTTTAAAACTCCCCAAGTAATTCTAATGTGCAGCCAAGGTTGAGAACGACTGTATTAAAGGTGTGTACCAGGAAAACAGCGAGAAAATAAGCTTGGAAAAGTACAGTAGAATTAAAATAAGGATAAGAGTGTAGAATTGACCTAATAGGTAAAAGGGAATTCTCATTGGTTCTTCAGGAGATAACAGGAGGTAAAATTATTAAACAATGTTTTGAGAAGACTAATTTGCCAGTAATACACAGCAGACACTGTAAGGCAGGACTTGGCTGGAAGGCAGACTCTGGGGCAACGTGAAGAGGTGATGCTCTGCTAACTGGCATAAATCATAAAATGGGAAGATAACTACAGGGCTTGGAGAAACTGAAAATGCATGACTTTCCAAGAAGGTATGTTTCCCACATGATAATCTGAAGCGAAATTGAGGCTACGATTACATTTTGTCAATAATACAAGGTTGAAAATCTTCTCTCTCAATCTTAGAAGATAAGATTAAGAAATGCCAAAGGATAATAAAAACCCAAAAACCAAACCCACCGCCACTGAGTCGATTCCAACTCATCGGGATCCTACAGGACAGAGTAGAACTGCCCCATAGGGTTTCCAAGACTGTAATCTTTATGGAAGCAGATGTCACATCTTTCTCCCACAGAGCAGCTGGTGGGTTCGAACTGCTGACCTTTAGGTTAGCAGCTGAGTGCTTAACCACTGAGCCACCAGGACACCTTTAAACGTAAAAAGGTGTCAAATGATAGTGTGTGAAAAAATGTCTTAAATTCCTCTTTTATTATTACATAAAACAAGATACGTCTGTATCAGACACAAATGATTTCTTATTTACAAGGATCAACGCAACCCATTCAAACCATTGCTGTCGCTACCCACAAAATGCTAAAGATGAGGGGACAGTAACTGTTCCTCTTTTAGAAGCGTTCTGTTCCTTCTGCTTGGACAGCTCTGTCACTTGTGCTCATTGAAAAAAATCTACTCATCCTTCGTGTGAGTCTCCAAGATTAAATTTTGCCAGATCACTCCAAGCAGAAGCTGTTCTCATCCTTCTTTAAACTTTACAACTTTGTATCCCTTTTACTGTGCTTACTGCAGACTCTTGAACAGCCTATATCTAGACACAGGAAGGGAGTAAACCTATGTACTGGTCCCCGCCCTCGCCCCCCCGTCCCCGTAAAGAACTCCTGGAGTTGTTTTCTCTACTTGTATTTTGCCTTAATCAATTACCAAGCAAATACGCCACGCTTAACATAACATTTTAATCTATGTCACTAGAGTGCAAGAGAACAGTATGTTGTGAACTGACTCGTTTACCTGTGGAAAATGCTATGCCCAAGCACGTGTTAAAGCCAGTGATGGCTAGAATGGCATTGAAGCTGTAAGCATCCAGGAGGAAGGTCGGGACATCTTTAACATCATAGCCTTCTTTCTCCAAAAGGAGCACTGAAGGCGCCAAAACGCTTAGAGATGCAGCACCTAAAACAAAACTGAGCAGGCAGCACTTAAAAGATTTATGATAGTATCTTAATATCTTTCTTTTTTAAAAAAATTACAATAACCTCTACTCCTTTTGGAGTCTACACTTTGTAGACTTTTACCTACAGTCTTTCAAACGGCATAGAAGTGCCAAACCAGAAACACACACACATAAAGTCCACAGAACACTGTTTTTCAGAGTGTGGCCACAGACAACCTGCAATGGAAATGCTTAGGTTGCCTTAAAAAAAATTTATAGATATATAGATAGATATGTAGCAAATCAAACCAAACTTGTTGCTGTCGAGTTGATTCTGACTCATAGTGACCTTACAGGACAGAAAAGAACCGCCCCATAGGGTTTCCAAGGAGCAGCTGGTAGATTCCAACAGCCGACATTTGGGTTAACAGCTCTTAACCACTGTGCCACCGGGGCTATGTATATTATTTATTTATTTTGTGAGTGCTATAGAAGATCTGCCCCTGAGTGGTGCAAATGGTCAATGTGCTTAGCAGCCAACTGAAAGCTGAAGGTTCAAGTCCACCCAGAGGCACCTCAAAAGAAAGGCCTGGTGATCTACTTCTGAAAAATCAGCCACTGAAAACCCTATGGAGCACAGTTCTACTGTGACACACATGGGGTCACCATGAGTCGGAAATGATTCCACAGCAACCGGTAAATAGAAGACCTAATGGGGTTAAGCCCCAGAAATCTGCCTTTTTCTGAAACGAAACATTCATGTTATGAGGTTTGAAAACCACTGCCACGTGTATTTTAGACTGGAAGCCAGTGACACTATCAGGACTCGGTATGTAAAGTAAGACGACAGATCAGGAGGAGAAGGTCACGATGACAGAGACCGTGGTGATAATAACAACAGAGCAGCAGGAACAGCAAGGAGCACCTTACGTGCCAAACACTGTTTTAATTCTTGTAACAACACTATAAGGTAGATTCAATCATAATCATCATTTTACAGATAAGGACAGAGATCCAGAGAGATTAAGGAATTTACCAAAAGTCACATGCTAGAAAGCTGCAGAGCTGGGATCTGAACCCAGGCAGTACAGCTCTAGAATCTAAACCATAACAAGTAAGAATTTCTTACTTTTAACCTACTTAACCCAAACCAGTTGCCATAGAGTCGACTCCACCTCATGGCAACCTCATCCTTGCCAGAGTAGAACTGTGCGTAATAGGGTTTTCAATGCCTGATTTTTTGGAAATAGAGTGCCAGCCTTTCTTTTGAGGTACTTCTGGGTGGACTGGAACCTCGAACCTTTCACTTACCAGCTAAGCTTAACCACCTGCACCACCGAGGGACTCTTCTTACCTACTTTTTAGAACCAAACACTAAGTGCTTTGTTATTTATTTACTTCTCATGGTTCTTCATCATGAGAAGCAAGGACTGACAACAGGAGGAAGAGACAGCAGAACCACAAATCACAACAGTCTGGTGACAAGAAGGAGGAAAACAGTCCTGGGGGTTAATGACTGTTAATGTGTTTATTTTCCTTTGTACAGACTTAAGGTGGGATCCTGCATCTCTGTCACCAGAATGGAACCAGGGGTAGTTAAAAGACCATTACTTCTTCAATTAATTTAAATTATTATAATCACTGTAAAAGTTAGCACCTACAGAAACATATACTATATTTTAAAGTTAGGGTATTTAGATTATGCCGGAATGTCTATGTCACATTTTCTGACGTCCTTAAGTAAATGCTAATACGCATTATCTGGTACAGAATCATAGAAATGCCTAAAATCTGTACATGTTTTCATATGGACAGAGAAAAACCGTTACCCCAGTATAAATCCCCATTGCCATGGTAAACCCATTAGGAAGTGGGCAAGAAGAGCAGATGCGCATGCCTCCACAAGACAAGGACCCATGGATAGTCTCCCGCAAACACCCTTCAACTTCTTCAGGGCCTGAAATATAAAAATAGACACACTAAGATAATTCTCTAAAGGCATGCAGAGAAGATGGACTTGAGGTATGAGATGACCTTAAACTTTTCCTTCAGCATTCAGACCACGTATGGGTCAACACAAACCTTCTAGGTAATGGGCTTTACTTAGCAAACACTTCAGTGTTCTAAGTGTTTTAGAGTTAATTTATTTAGACCTCATAGCCACACTATGAGATAGGTAGGTAGTACTATTATCCCCATTTTTCACGTGTCCTCTTGTAAAGAGGCACGATTTGCTCAAGATCGTGAAACTGGTGAGTGGTGGAGCCAGGTTTTGAACTCAGGCAAGCAGCTAACAGCGTCTGTGCTCAAAATCCCCACACTAGCCGACTTAACCCTCTCAGTACTAGCTTTATTTATCATCTGTGGCCCCAGGGTGAGACTGGACAAAAAGCCTCACTTGGTTCATGACGTCCCCCAGGAACATTTACTCCTGCATTCAAAAACATACATGGAAAACAAGACAAAACAAAAACACGAGCCTCATTTTATACACTAGAAGGTTTCCTGAGCCAGTACGGTTAGCCCTAAGCATGTATACAGGGCTTTGCACACCAAAAATAACAAGTCTTCTCCCTCACTGATGGTAGTTTATAACTATGGCCTACATCTCTGTCAGAGAAAAGGGGAACCTTTATTCTTGGTGCTGTCCCCACTTCACCTTTCTCCAAGAAAGCATAGGAACAGTTTCTGAGGTCTTGTGAAGCATAAGGTACTACCCGCACAATAGTCCTGTATGAAATAAATGCTGTTCCCTCCTTAAGACTGTCACGCAAAGTGTCCACATCCTCTTTGTAAAGCTCAGTGATTCTAAATATTGCAGCACTGGAGGAGCAAAATTCCTACTCTGTAGTTAGAAATCCCCACTTCATACCTCTGAATCCAGCTGAAGGCCGGCATAAACCAAAATGATAGATAGGTATATACTTCTCACAGAGGAAGACCACTCGTGCTCGATCTGCACATTATCACTGATGACTGGGATGTTTCTGATGAGAAACCCAGCAAGCGTCCCACCTTGAATGGAAGTCAAACAACTCTTTTGTTAGTTTCCAAATACAGAAAACATCTGTCAGCACATCAGATGTGAAGGAGACAACTATATAATCCTAGGAACCACTTCCTTTAGGCTTAGTCCTTGGATAAAATTAAGTTTTTAATTTAAGAAATTAAAGTAGTACAATAAATTAGAGCTGCAAAGAAAAGATTTTAATATGCAGATTAAAAAGACAGATTATGATAGTTAATATCCCTCAAAATACCTGAAGTGAAAAACAGGATGCAGCATTTGGAAAGACTGTGATCAAATTCTAAATACAAAAAGTTTTATCGCAACGTCGAATTCAGTCATCCCTTTGGGTACAAACAGCAAACAGTTCCTGAAATTATGTGCTATGTCAGGTTACCTGAAACACCAACAAATACTTACATGGGTCCATTTTACCTTCACATCAGATAATTTAAAAATGCCTAACCTACTTTGCTTCTAAGCAAAGGCTTTGGTGAGTTATGATAGGATGGACAACCCTGCCCTTTCGTTCATCCGTTCAACATTTACCAAACGCTCTCAGTATTTTAGACACTGTGTCTGCTGGTCGCGCGGTTCCTGCTGATCACACCCGTGTCGCCATTTCTCTGCTTCCCGGCTCTGCTGTCCTTGTCGCCATTTCTCTTGGTCTTCAGTGTCAGTAGCTCAGTATTACAGCCCTTGACCATTGTTACAGCTCTTTCATTTCAGTCTAGGAGGTCCTCAGTGCAGGGACCCTGGGTCCAAAGGACACGCTCCTCACCAGGCTCTTGTAGATCTGTGAGATCGACCGCGTACCTAGGAAAACTCTTAGTCAATTTCAAGGCGTGATTTTCCCAGCAGGATGGTAAACTGACCAATTCTATTGGGTGGATTGCAAGCCACTTAGGTGGATAGAAACCAACCAATCCCTGGAAGTCACTTAGGCAGATAGCAAACCGACCAGTCTTTGCAAGCTGTTAGATGGAGAGCAAACAGATCAATCACTTGGCAGGCTGGGGCCCGACCAATCATTTTGGAAGAATTGTAAACTCAGGGCCAGAAAGGCCACATAAAAGAAACCCACTGCACTACAGTTGCAATGCCTAAGGAAGTAGTGAATGAAGATGTTAATCATCAATGGCTAATAATATGAGAGAAAAAGAGATGACCAGATATTACATACCCATGAATCACCTACGAAGTAGTCTTGCAAAAAACAAAAGCAATATATCTATATCTATATCTATGTATCTATCTATCTTAGGCTTTGTGGACCATACGGAAACAAACCTTCGGATCAAGCCCCTACATCTAACAATGAATTTATATAAAAGGGACAGAGGAGCATGCTAAATACCACCGCTGGGATATAATCAGCAAAATTTAGACTCTGTGAAACATTACAGTACAAGACCATTTTTTTTCAGTAATGATTTGCTTTAAAATAATTTGGGAGTAGATGAAATAGGGATGCCCATATATTGATAATTTTTGCCTACTTAAAAAAATTTCCAGAACACAAATTTTTAGAGAAAAGAATACTCTTGTATCAGGGAAGGTGTTCAACGAAGGGCAAGGTCCCCATGGGCTGAGAGGCAAGAAAGCGACATCTGCCAAATCAAAACCAGGCCACTGGCAAGGGAAAAGTGTCTCAGGGAAATTGTTTTCACATTCTTTTCAGAAACAAGCAAACAAAAATGCTTTGTCATCACTTGTCCCTGGTAATTATTTCAATAAACTCTTAAAAATACAGAACAGGTAATCATCACATGTATTCTGTATTTTAATACATCTTCTTTATGGATTCAGATAATGCTTTGGCTTTGGACACTGGTCCTAATATCATAAAAAAAGGTAAACTTTCTCTATCACAGGTAGAATACTATAAAAAGAGATATAAGATATATCACGTACATACTTTTCAGAATATTTCCAGTTATCTTGGGAGACTTCATGTGATCACTGCAAAGCTTTCTCTCTTTGCAATGTGGTACATTTTGTTGTGCAATAATAGACTTGGATGGGTAAAAAGAAGCTGAGGAGTAAAGAACATTTTCATAGAGTCTAGAACACTGGTTTTCAGCTTCAGCTACATATTATTAGAATCATCTGGGGGGCTTTTAAAAATTCTAATGCCTGGGCTGTACTCCATACTAATTAATTCAGAATCTCTGGGGGTGGGACCCAGGCATTAGCATTTTAAAAAATTCCCCAGATGATTTCCATGTGCAG